TTTTTTTTTTTTTTTTTTTTTTTTTTTTTTTTTTAATGGTGGTCTATACGACTCTGAATTTGAGATTTCTTATCATTTCTATTAAAAAAAAATCGCTTTTTGTCATCCGGTAGCGTATTTGTCGGATTTTGTCCCCGCTTTGTCGTTCTGTCATAGCATTAGGACTTGCATCGCTGCTGGCTGAAAAATCTGGAGTGGAAGGGTGGGAAAAAAAACTCCTAGCACACCAATACCTTTCTCGTCTTCTGGCCTAAGTTCATACTCATGCTGGCACTTTCCTTATGTATCTGACTGCAATTACGGTGGGAACTGGATGAATGTGTCCGCCATCACATCCACATGCAGAGCTTAGTAGAAAAGCCCTAGCGTGCGCATGCCCTAGGTAAGATTGAGCGTAGTATATGTTCTGATCAGTTTACAAACTTTATATCTGATCGGTCCGTGGTCCCTCCGACGGTGGAAATCATCTGCACTTCTGCACACACCGAACAAAGGGTCAGTGAATTCTCCCTTGAAATTTCCTTGCAGATGCAATGACTTTTCGGGGGGAGAGCGACGTCAGCTGTCAGGGAATTCTCTCTGGAAACTTCCCTGCAGATGCGGAGTCAGTTGGATGCAGTTAGGCTGAGTCGCTACTCTGGTGCACTGCTGCGCATCTAGCAGGCCAGCAAAGACTGGCATCTGATGCGTCTCACCTGTCAATTTAGAGTAGGTAAAAGGAGTAGTGGTGGTTCCTATGCGTGGGATTCAGCCAAGAAGCGTCTGCTCTTCGAGCCTTGTTATATTCACGGAATCACGGATAGGGGTTTCGATGAAGTGGCGGAGTTCATTAAACCACCAGTAGATGCCAGCGATTGGGCCGCGTGCCCCTTTCGGAGGCCGCCCGCCGCCGATTTATTTTATCGACGACACTTGGCCGCCTCAATTTTCGGAGAGGCTCAAAACAGGTTCTCCAGTTGCCTGGTGGGGGCATTTTGCATGGTCGCCTCTTCAATCGTAGGGGACTAAGGCCAAAGGGCCCGGCGCCGGGCTGGCGGTGCCTATGGTCGCCTCTTTGATCCCTCCATGTGGCATATATATATATATATATTCTATTTGACGATATATATATGAAATAATGAAAAGGAAGCTTGTAGTCCAGAATGGACAAAGTTGAGAATCCGTTTTATCTTGGGTTGTTCGGCGGATGATCGTAAACAGACTTCCGTCATTTACGGTTCCAAGCGCCTTCGGCCTCCAGGGGGGGATCCTAAGGGCACATTCCGTCATTGAACGGGAGTAGTTCTACACGAGATGCTACGGCACGAGGATGGCTCTGCCATGGGCCCATAGCCAAGGGTGCCGTGACGGTTTGTTTCAGACGTGAGCCCTCCTACTAGTCTGTCGGAGGCATGTTAACAGCAATCGTCCTTTTACAAGTGCAGTGTGCTGGCGTACTTGTGAGTGCAAAGGAGTCCCATGGATACGGAAGCCTATAGCCAATAGCCAATAGCCAATAGACTGTAACAGATCGCGGGTATGATTGCCCGATGAAAGGTGTCTAACTAAAGACGTCTTGCTTTTGCAGCAGGTCATGCCCACTGCCCAGCCTTCCTTGCAGGTCCTTTCACACCTGGAGAGGCCTTCGCTAGCACTGCTTATCCCGTAAATACGCCTTATGCAGCATATCGTAAGTCATCGTTTATATAGCCAAACACAGGCTTTCAAAAAAAAACTTAGAAAAAAATTAAAAAAGCGGAAAGTTCGGAAACCCAATCACTGAGAAGTTGTGTGATAACCTGAAGTCGACTAAGATGGAGTCCTCTTTTTTTCTCTTTTTTTTTTTTTTTTTTGCAGATAAGGTCCTTTTAAATCTGTTAAAGGTTTTAATAAAGAAGTGAGTCAGGTTGTCTAGGAACATCCAAATATGTCTTGGGCCGAAGTTTCTGTCCACCATATCTTGTTGTGCTGCGTGATATTGAGAGGGGCCTTGGGCGTCTGATATTGAAAAAAATACGCCTGACACACCACACCACACCGTAAACCATGGCAAACAACCTTCTTCCCCCCAAATACAACATACGGTCATTATTCCTGTACCCTGTACTTGGACTGAAAGCTGTACAGAATACGCATCTGATATTGAAAAAAAGAATAAAAAATAAGCCTGACACACTACATCGTAAACCATGGTGAACTACCTTCTTCCCCCAAATTCGACGTACGGTAACTATTCCGGTATCTAGAATTTTAGACTGAAAAAGATGTGCAAAAAATAAACTCTTAAGGACCCGGGTTTATATTCGGGTGAAGACGATAGCCAAACACTGGAGAAAAGTAGTGTGCCGCTGGCGGTTCAGCAAAGCTTATTAGCACACTGCGAACCAGCCGCGGCAAAAGGAGGCTCGGATGTGCATATCACACAGCAAGGAGGGAAATCATACATGGAAGAAAGGTCCCTCCTTGCGCACACGCATGGGGAAGAAGCCACAATGATAAAGGGGAGAGGGCAGGGATCCGAGGGAAGACAAGAATAGAACTTGTAGTCGTCCAGGAAAAGTCTCCCCGTCAGATGTCCAGCCAATGTCTGTCCTCAAAATGTCGAAGCAGATGCTGGGTGTTCGTAAGCCTGAAATAGTCACTGCCTGAAATCTCTCTCTCTCTCTCTCTCTCTCTCTCTCTCTCTCTCTCTCTCTCTCTCTCTCTCTCTCTGAAGAAGAAGAAGGAAAAGAGAGAGGAGGACAAGAAGAAGAAGAATAGTTGCTATGGAGAATCAGGAGAAGAAGCAGAAGCAGAAGAAGAAGAAGAAGAAGAAGAAGAAGAAGACGAAGAAGAACACGAAGAAGAACCCTCCTCTTGGGCGCGCCCCTGATGATAATGTCACGAGCACTGACCAGCAAAGGCAACGGCTCCCGATGCAGGTCGCTGCTGAAACCCGGTCCCATGACACGTATGAAGTCCCAGCTATGGCGCCCAGGAAAGTCTCTCTCTCCCTCGCGACATGGCCTCTGCCAACCTCTCCATTCCAGCCTACTTCTCTTCTCCTCTAACGCTCCTCTATTGCAGCTGTCCCGAAACTGGCGCTGCTCCAACGTCGTGACGCCCAACTGAGGCTCCAGCTGATTGTTCTCAAAGTGTAGGACTGGCCCAGCTACATACCTCGGGGCCTGGCTGAGCACTCGGTCTGCATTCACGACAGTCGGATCTGATTTCTAACCAATGGTCCTCATCGCAGGCCCAAGTCCTGCTCCCGTGATCCTGGCCAAAAACGGCCCGCCTGGGTCCCTACCGGACGTCCAGGCAACCCTGCTGATGCAGCAGGGTCCTGAGGACCGGGCCAGGTCCAAACAGACGAATGCCTGGTTCAGTCCCAGATACAGATGAATCTGAACCTGGCCTTTTTTTTCTTCTTTTTTTGTGTGTGTGTTAAAACACGCCCCCAATGTGAACCTGGCCTAGAACGGCCGAAACTGAAATCCACTGGTTCTAACAGGCATCTGCCTGTTCGGACGAAAGGAAAAGCTTAAGCCGACACATCTGAAACAGACAAAAATAGTGCAGACAAAACCCAGCCCCAAACTCACTCAGCAAAAGGAAATGAATGAATGCTGAAAAAGGAAAGAGAATGGGACAAAAGATATGAGCCCAGGCCCAAAACGTGGCTGTGGCCCACCCAGTCGCCCAGCCAAAGGGGCGGTGCGGCCTGGGCCCGAAAAGGAAGAAAACGGGCCTGAGGGCCAGTGAAGGGCCCTTGTAGGAGCCCCTAGGATGTTACTCTCTCTCTCTCTCTCTCTCTCTCTCTCTCTCTCTCTCTCTCTCTCTCTCTC